CGGAGCTGAGACTTGTCACTGAGAGGTTATGAGATGTCGTGGCTGTGCCCTGTGGTAAATGTTAGATTACCTCAGCAGGAATCAGATTTTGGCAGAATATTTCTAGAGCTCAAATATGAGTGCTCATTATGTATGAGATGAAAAAGAGAAAAGCATTCCAGCCGCGATATCATCAGTAGGGTCAGACTAGGTGATATTTAGTGGTTCACCCATTTGGGGCAAAAACAAAAAGAGATGGGTTCTGTTTTCCATAAGCATTTTGGAAGCGGCACTGTTTTCAATTAGCTTGCTGAATAGTGACAACCCACAAGCCGGTGGCATATCCCACGACACCAAACCCAATCCGGGTGCAGCACAAACAGTCTAAATTTAATAGGACTTCAGAAAGCATCCTCCATCTTCTTGTGGTGAGTGGCTCCGAGGAGCAGAAACATCTGTACCTTACGTGAGATGAGCTCCACATCTGGCCCGAGTCCTGATTGTTTGAGGGGTGTGGACATGCACCAACAGCTGCAACCAACCGCTCCCAGATGTTTCTGATAGGCAGAGTGTCGAGCTGTTTGTTAGGCGTGGGGTGATCTTTGATCTCTCAACAGCGCCCGGCCGTGGCGTTATTGTGTGGAGGGCCTGAGAAGCTCGGAGCGGCGCGCAACGGAAGCACGGCGACCTCAAAGGAGGGCCTCTGGTGCACTGTGGTGAAAACAGACGCGGCAAACTGGCTTCAGCTGTGGAAAAGAACTCTTTGGAAACCACCCAGCATCTCCATCCACATCCAGTTGCGCTACTGGCATCTTATTTGAATAAGTGAACATAAGTACAGTCTATAGCCTTGTGATTTAGATATGCACCAAAAAGAAAGCGTAAAGTGTGTAATCTTTAAGTGTGTGTTTTATGTGAAAAGAAATGGCAACCTCTGAAGCGTCGCATTAAAGCTTAAAACATAACTAATAGTAAAAAATATCCATAATCATGTATTTAGAAAAATGATACTATGCTGCTGAGGAGGTTTTTCCACCATACATCAGAGCTGAGCGGTGTAGCACATTGTGGCATGAAAAAAAACCAATGTCGTAAATAACTTTTTTTTCTTTTCCACAGCAAAGAAAGGAAGAAGTTCAGCCTTCTGCTGACATGATCACTCTGCCTGCAGAGCTCCACGTGGCTCAAACCTCTTTGAACTGCTGAGCATCCGGCTCCTGCTTCCCAGGGCTATAAAGGCCTGATCATCCCTGACAGAGCTGTCATGGGCTTTGTGCACCAAACATTTCGTTTCAGTGAGATGGTGTTTTAGGAAGTAGAGCAAATCAGGCCCGAACTTCAAAAATAAACATGGCATTTATGGACCGGAAAAGGCTTTGCAGAGCTGTGCCACTCCTGCTTCCACATCGGCGACAGGTCGTAATGAGGCAGCTCTCATGCATTATGACTGGAGGTTCCAATACAAATGTACTGTAGCACAAAGAAATGGAGCTTCTGAATGGTGAAGGTCGTCATGCTGATGTCCACCTGCTAGTCCTCTGCAGCAATACAACACAATATGGCACACAGACATCACAGTGGTGCTTTAACCAAATACTCCAATCACAATGAGGGAAGATCAACAGTGATTTTCATATGTCAATGAAATATGGTCACATGGCGGATGGCGGTTGGCACCACTTCCTCATAGCAAGAAGGTTCCTGGTTCAAATCCCAGTCTGCATGTTCTCCCTGTGCCCGCGTGTGTTTTCTTCATGTATTCCAGCTCTTCCTCCCAAAGTCCAGAGACATGGTTAACGAGAGAAAATGTCTGCTGTGACATTACATCTCCTGCCCCCCCCCTTCCATGACTATGAAAGGACAAGCTGAATGGATGGATGGGACTCAAGGAGGAACCTCTTGACAAAAACAAGGTCAGTCAGACCTCAGATGAAGGAGGAAGGCTCCTTATGTAGGAGGCCCCATCACCACCACCACCACCACCACCCACACACAAACACACACACACACACACACACATTTGTGATAGGGACGGCTGCAGGAATCAAAAACTTCACCGAAATAAAAAACGACTGAGCAAATGGATCCAGACCCTTTCTTATAAACTTACTTAGGTGATTAAGATGAATTCCATGCAAACCTAAAATTAAATGAGTTCGGGGGTTCAGTTTTATTTCACTGTTCCTGACTTTTTATCCAAAAATTAGGAAATTTCTGTTATTCAGCATTTAGCATCTTCTGCAGTTGTAGAGTCAAGACACCAACCAAACATGCTAAATCATAATATCTAGATGTTTTATCATCTAAATTGGACGGGTTGTATTTGCAGCAATACTGAAACAAGCTGTAATTTGTGATGAAATGATCAAAATTAAAGATTCATTTTCATCAGGTTTGACCGTCAGGGGGATCACGTTGTCTTATTGTAGCTCTGCATGACTGATTTCAGTTCCAGCATGATCTGTTTTTTTTATTCGAGTTCTATTTAGTATATAATCTATCATAGTTTTACCTCCCCCCACCGTGTTTAAAGATAACCTTTTAATCTGTTGTTCCATGCCTCTCAGGCAGCCATTCGTTAAATCTTCTGTTCGGTCAGAAGCTGAGAGCAAGCAGACAATCACAAGTTGCATCTGAAAAGAAGAAACGAGGTCACAATTTTATTTTGTTCACCCTCAAGTAGCACAAACCATGAAACCTGAAAAAAGACAGAATAACACTCTCATGTCTTCTAAACAAAAATTAAACAATACGTGCTTCACAACACTAATAAATCAGGTCTCCTGTCGTATCACAGATATGAACTGTGTATTTTACAAGAGTGCTTCTGGACTTTAGAGTAGCTTACATGTACATTGAATAAGAAAACAGACCAATTCTACAAAATCTGGGAACCCTATTTGAACTATGAAGATCCCGGGGGTTTTCTGATGAATGTTTTACTTTTTTATGTTCTTCTGGTTTTGCCCTCTTTATCTGGGACTTCGGACACTGTGAATCTGAGCCACTGTTCTGTGTTTGTTCGTTTTAATTGTTTTTATTTCGTCTCTTTTTCATTTATTCCTTCAGTGTATCCAGCTTTTATATGTTATAAATGTGAAAAAACCAATAAACACATTGTGTCAACCTTCTATGCAAAGAGCCTTGAGATAATGTATATTATGATTTGGCACTTTGAAAATAAAATTGAATTGAATTTGTCCAAATCAGGACCTTTATTGTAAAAATACCTTTAAAGCAGTGTTCGGCACCACAGCCTGATGTTTTTTTTTATGGCATGCACGTCAGTGAGCTGTAATCAGATCACCAGGATCCCAACAAGTTACATCCCGGACAATAGCAGATGGCCTGCAGGCCCAACCTCACTGTGCAATAATTATATTTCAACAAAGTGAATCTGGAAGCTTGACACAATAATTACACTGTTTTAAAATATGATGCTGCAGCTATACAAGAGTGACTCACAGCAGGTCTGTGTTTGATTCATTGAGCCTCTTGTATAATCTGCTGTGTGACAGTCGACCTGCAAGTCAACTCTCCACCGAAGCAAAAGTGCCCCCTGGTGGCCATGTAATCGAACAACTCAACAACAAACTAACAAAACAAACTTAATTAGTCAAGTAAATGTATTTTCGAGAACACAAACCGTGTATTCTAACCTAAGCTGCCTTTCCTTTTTGTGTGTAGAAGATTGATACCACATTCACTGCACTAAATAGTCATAGTTGTTGTCTTTCTCAGGAATCACCGACAGCACGTGTGTCATTTGGACACAATAACGCAGCCCACTATAAGAACCTTTAAATGCAGTCACCACATGAACTGCTTGCTCTGATCCCTCATCATAACCATCTAAAAAATATATAGTTACATGCTCAAAGCAAGACTAAAATACAGGGACAACCATGGCTCGACAGAAATAGGTTTTATATTTCAGAACATGCTGAGCAACGTTGGTTCTTATCAGTTAAACATCAGCTTTGAGATACGTCCAGGCCGTGTCTGTAAAAGTATGTTGAAAGAATAACTGAGAGGAGGCTCATGGTTCAAAACCACACACTCTTCAAATAGGCTACAAAACTAAGCCACAGCTATGTCTGCGTGGTCTCAGAAAAACGATTACGCTGCATTGACTGCAGCTAAAACAAGGCGTGTTGAAAAGTGAAGAATATAAACAAATACAGCGATTTCAGAAATGAAATACAAGGAAGTGACAGTGCGAAAGTTATCACACAGTGTTGTTTTGCATGTTTGAAATAGAAAATATAAATACCTTCTTCTGATTTGGAACTATTTCATCACCCTGAATCAACACTGAATCATCCATTATTCTAAATGGGGCCTCAGATTAAATTTCAGTTGATTAAAACATTACAACTATCTCCCAGAATCCACCTCTTCAAATGTACTTCTTTACACATTGAACAAACAATCAAAATGTGTGAGAAGTGAGTTTTTCTTATGCAATATTTATTTATTTGTTTCGTCTTAGGGCACGTTTTTATGGAAGACCATTTCTGCCACTGTGATGCAAAAATGTTATATGTATATTTTGTATTTCTGAAAACAATGGGAGGCCTGCCTGACCGGCCACAGTACGGCCATGCAACGAGCACCGGTCTCTGGGGGGCTGCCCACATCCAGACCAGATCCAGCCATCGAGGGGACCTGACTGACTGAGGGACTGGGCCTCCAGCTAAACCCTCACACAACAAATCTCCCCACTGTGGGACGAAGAAAGGATGGTTTTATCTTTTCTTAGCAGCAGTAATTGATTATTACAATTATTGTTGACAATGCTATGTTAAAGTATATAATGTAGGATGAATATGAAAAGGAATGAACTCTTTAAATTCTGGATTGTGAGATACTAAGTCATAATTCTGAGATAGTAAGGTTCTGATTATAATGAGCTGCAGGATCTTTAGTTTTTCATCACAGTGGCGGAAGTGTGCATCCATTGAGGACGGAACACGAACCATGAGTTTCTCTTGAAGGAATCAGACGATACAGAATGCGGAACTGACGTTCTGCAGATAAGTGTTTCCGTCCGGATGACATTTTCGTCGCCCAGCTGTCTGTTTACACCGCAACGTGGGTAATTCAGACACAGGTTTTATGGCAGATGAGTGAAGATAAAATAGAAAACTTTTGATATTGTTTTTCTACCTGATAAAATGGGTAAAAAGCGCCAAAGTGAAGACTCTTCGGAGTCTAACACTCCGGCGAAGAAAGAGAAAGTCCTGGAGTTCAACGGGACTGTTTTTAAAGCCATGCTAAAGGAAGCTACCACCGCTATGAAGGGTGAGTGCATATAAACCTGTTGGTTTTTAGCATGAGAATATTCAAGTGTTTTAATGTGTTCGAGCACCAGCCCTCCTTCCTTTCAATCTCCATGTTTCTATCTCCTGCAGGACTGGAGACGTTCATATCCACCGCTAAGAAGCTGCCCTCCTCTGACCTGTATGATGTGGTGGAAGGGTACATTAAGATCTCCATGGAGTGTGCAGAGATATTCAAGCTGCTGGAGGGAGAGAAGCACGAGGAGACGGAGGTAAAGTGAAGTGCAGTTGAGTGGCTCCCTGTGTTTCGGGAGAAGGGAATCTCTGATGTGAGCCTGTGCTCCTGTCCAGTTGATGCTGATCTTTGAGGGTTTGGAGATGATCCTACTGAGGACAGCCAGTGACCTGTCCCACTTCAACATGGTCGGCAACGCCATCGTGAAGAAGACAGTTTCCAGCTACATGAAGCTTGTGCAGGGATCTCTGCATTCAGGGAATCACAGGTTGGTTTGAAGATCTAGGATCAGGTGCACATTAAAGTCATTCCTTGTTTACTATTAGCTCTTCAAGTTTTAGCATTTAATACGTGTTCAAAATTGTTCCGTGTTTTGTACGTCACAAGTCATAATCACTTTTAGTACTGTGAGTGACTTCTTGTGTTTTTTAAAGACCACTGACAAGACAGAGGCACTTTAGGGCCCCCCCCCCTGCCAGGACTCTAATGTCGGTCCGCAGCTAATGTTGTGTTTTGCACAGGTTTGTCCGTCAGTGCCTTGGCCTCCTGTCCGCCCTGGTGTCTCAGGGCCCAGAAGCTGCCAGAGAAGTCTTCAGTCACATTCACATCAACAAGGCTCTGTCTGGACTGGCAAAGAGACGGGATAAGAAGGTGCAGTCATTGCATCTGTTTCACAGTTCTTTTGTATGCTTACACACACCAGAGATGTTCATACACAAACCTAAAGAACTTTGTGTCTTCAAAACAGAGGGGAGCACTGAGATGACACTGTTTATTATTGTTTAATTGTTTAGGTTTGTAGGAGTGAATGTGCTATGAAGCTGAATTTCTCTTTCCAGGACAATAAACTAACAATCAAAAATGTTTTCTCTGTTCTTTTCCAGGGACGACCTGATGTCCGCATGGCTTATATCCAGTTTGTCCTCTCCTTTTTGGTGTCTGGAGATAATGCAACAGTTGGACAGATATTAGAGGTCAAAGGTAATTATTATAAGATATTGATTGTAATCATCCCAACAAACAAACAAACCTCCAGTGTGTTGATGATATTTTATTGTGCTGTGTCAGAGCTCCTGCCAGAGATCCTGAGTACGGGTCTGAAGGAGGACAGGATGTCTCTCGTCAATCTGATCCTGTCCACACTGAAGACTCGAGTAAGTGTGCAGCTGCACAATCTTTACATTTCAAACTCTAGCTACTACAGATGTGGTAATTGTATTCCTTGTTATTTCTCATTGTGCAGGTTTTACTGAACAAGGCCTTAAGTAAAACACAGAAAGTGCGTTTTTTCACACCTGCTGTTTTGTCAAACATCGCTTCTCTGTATAAATGGAACGGGATTGTTGATGCGACCACTGATGATAACAGAGTAAGATATTTGCTTTTTGTCTTGAGTTCATTGAAATGAAGGATCTGTCAAAATTTGAACTTGTGGGTCTAATTTTGATTTACTTTTTGGAAGGTGGTGGAGAACTCAGAGCATCCTGGGAAATCTGTCATCCGCGATCTCGCTCACAGTTTCCTTCTTGACCTTTGTTGCTCTCGTAAACATGGCATCACCTTTCATGATGCCAGCTTTGGCACCGCTGGCAGGTAAGTGAACTGTAGGATGTTAAGTTCACCTTATACTCCTCTGAAAACTCCTCATGTTGATGCTGGATTTTCATTTTCTTTTTTTTTTTCCAGAGCTGGTAACATTGTCTTACTTCAGTTCTTGGTCGGGCTGAAACAGGCGACAGAAGACGAACTGGTGGCAGAGCTGGTGGTGAACATACTCAAAGCCTGTCCTGATATTCTGGCCAGATACTTTAAGGAGACCCAGTATTCATACACACCCCGCCTCAAAAGTGCTTGGCAGGACAATGTCAGGTTACTGAAAAAGGTAATTTTTACACATGCCAAGAACTTTGTTTGTCTTTTTTTGTCAGCAGGATTTGAAAAATCTACTCAAATGGTTTTTAACAAAACTTGGGCCATGAAAAGAACCTGTTACATTTGGGTGCAGACCCTTTTACAGATTTCTAAGAGAATCATTGTTGGATTTAGGAGACTGTTATCTATGTGTGCAGTTTGGTGCAGATCCAAATGATATTCTGGATTTAGCAGATTTGATTGTGGTTACATTTTCCACTTGTTGTAGATTAAAAAATAAGGCTAGAAACCTGTGTAGCCGGAATAACATAGTGTGAAGATACAGTATATTCTCCACAGTGGGATTCTAGTTACTGCTGTCTTTTTTTTTCTTGAGACATCCGTGTTTGGAAATATCGTTTATGCCCATTTTAAAAGACAATAATGCTCCTGTTTGCATCTTCGTGACAGATCTACCAGGCCCAACCAGAGCTCTCCACCGTCTTTCCAGCCTCTGAGGTCCTCCCCCTCCCTCGCCTTCTCTCCATCATGATGGTGGTCTCTCTCCCTCCTGTCTGCAACAAGGCCTTCTTCACACAGGGCCTCAGTGTAAGTTACTCTTCAAATATATCCTTAAGGACAGTCAACAAAAGAATGACAATTTTCAAAATGTACAGTATCCTGGAATTTCTTTTTCCTCTTGTATCCGACAGTTTAATAACACAGCAGTGCAGCTCACAACTCTGTCCATGACGAATTTCCTCTTGAAAAGAGCCAGTAAGAACATAGAGTACCTATCGGAGGTGCACAACTTGGATGTTTACACTGCTGACATGATGGTGGACTTGGTGCAGCAGTACAGGGAGACACTCAGCAAGGTAAGCCCAGGAAAGTGCCGTCATTAAACGCACACATAATAATGATGCTCCATTCAACAACTCAAGTCTGTACTTTTTGTGTTTTTTCTCCAGATTTTGCCTGATATGACGAGCATCGTTGCAAAGTGGCAGTCGCTTAGCAAGAAGGAGAAGACGGAGGGGGGAGACAAAAAGACCAAAACCGAGGGGAGCACTGAGAAGATGGATAATAAAAAGGAAGAACCTGGTGAATACCACGATCAGTGCATGAATAATGTTAATTGCCATCAGTCTCGTTAAGGAAAGGGGAAAGGAGTTTGACGGACTCGTGTATTTTATGTTGCAGTTGCAGAGACAGCTGAGGTCATCATGCTCAAGGCTCTGATCCTTCAGGTCATTTGTCTTTACCAGAGAGTGGTGCCACATCTGGTCAACCAGTGCAAATTTGACTTCAGCAAGCTCTTTAAAGGTGACATCGTTTTTTCCTGTGGAGAGAACTTCAAATATTGTCATGATCGTTAGCAATAGGCTTTAAATCTTAATCATTGTCCTTACCTCTCCAGGCATCGTGTCAGAGAAAGGAATGAGACAAGAAGTCCCTCCAGTGTTGCAGTATCAGATATTGCAGTTGGCCCTTGATCTCCCTGCAAGCAAGTTCTCCTGGTTCCGCATACAGGTGAAGTCATTTTATTATGTATTGTTGTTTAGGAGACTTTGTAATCAGTGTTTATAATGTGATGTTTTTTTTCCCCCCAGGATGCTGGAGATGCAGATTCTTCTTCTGCAGAGAAGTCGGTGCTGTATTTGCTTCTCCAGATGTTTGTTAGCAGCAGCAGCAGCCACCTGAAGACCTCCACACGCATGCTGGTTCTCAAAGTGAGGAATGCTTCAAATTTACCAACTTGATTATTATTCACCCCAAAATGTATAAATGACACCATTCAAATACATCACCCCAGTTTGAGGTATTCATCATTCCATCTGAGGTTACAGCATCGTTTCTAGAGAATATGTGAGCCACTCCTAAGTTCAGTCCCTACATTTTAGAAAAAAGAAGTTGGTCCTGAAGCAAAATAAAAGTGCTGTGAAACTATTTGTACGGATGATAGAGTGAGAGCAGCTTAGGAAAATTTTATCGATGTTAATATTTAACTGTCCAAGTTTCACACTGACTTTTCCAAATTCTTCCCAATAGTATTGCTGAAACACAGCTTTAGGAAACATGAACAGCTGTTCTGTATTTCCTGCCTCGTATTCAGGTGCTGAAGGACAGTGGTGTGTTCGAGTACAGCTGGACTGAGCTCAATCTCTGGCTCGATCAGTTGACCAGAGTCGAGCCAAAGCACCAAGAGACAGTCATCCTGTTCTTGGAGAGGGTGAGGTTGTTTAAATCTCAACGTTTCTGTTTATTACTGACTAAATATGAAATGTTGAATCATAACACTGTAGTTATGATGGATCCTAAACTCCTGGTCTCTTACTCTAGGTGTTGGTGAAACTTGTGTGCAGCTCCTACACTTACACAGATAAGGTTGCCAGTCTGGTGCAGGAGGCAGCTTACATGCAGGCTAACCTGAGTAACCAGGATGGTGATGCTGCAAGTATCCCTGTGTCTCACATCGATGGTGAGCATTTAAATATGAAATCTAATCAAAGCTGATTTCTTCTTACAACAAGTTTGTCTCTGGAACGTGTTTTTTGTTCTCTGACCATGTTTCGTAGACGTCTTGGACATGCTTGATGTCATTATGGAGGGTAACGACGGTGAAATGGAGGAGTTTGGTCCGTCTCTGAGTGAAGACCTCATTATACAAACCTTCCCCTTCAGTGTGGTGGTACCTGCTGCTCTGGAGGCCCGGAACAAACTTCCAGAAAACAAAGGTGAACCATCAGTTTGTACAATAGGTGTGTGGAGCAACTTGTGTCGTGTTAATGCACACCCTTAATTTTCTTTTACATTGTGATAATTTATGGTTTGCCGTTTCAGAAGTCTTTGTCTACCATGAGAAAAGCTTCTCCAAATTAATTTTGATATGTTTCACTGTGGATATCAGTCCTGTCTTTTCTTCCCTCAGGTGTTGTGCATGAGTACTTGTCCGCTGTGCTCACTGACGTGCTGCACTGTCAGAGAGAGCCGCTGCCCCTCTGTCTGGCTCTGCTGCAGTATGACAAAGAGCTTGTATCCTCCACACCCTCTGCTTCTCCTCATCATGCCATCATACACCTTCATCAGTATTACTCCCAGTGGTTGCCGCAGCAGTGCCAGGAGGAACTGGTCAGTTTTTAGTAACACCAAGACAGTAACTGAAAGAGTGATGTCATTTGTTTTATTGGAAAATTAAATTTCTGTCTTCTTTTGCAGTTCAAGTCTTATGAATGCCATTCAGAGGAATCCCCAAATACCAACTCATACACCGCGCTGATGAAAGCTGCGTATAGCCAGGGACCGAGCACTCTGCTTGAAGAAACCTTCAGGAAGAACGTGGAAGAAACGTCAGCTCTCATGTCGATGGATGAGTTCCCAGTAGCAATCAAGCAGATCCTACTCTACATCAAATCAACAGTGGAAAACTTTGGCACGGTAAGAGAGAGAGCACAAGACGAGGTCACTCTTCAAGGCATTTCCAAGTAAAAATATATCCATACCGTACATCATGTTTTGCGGCACAGTTCTCCAAAGACACGGGCGCTGCCCTTTTGACGACCTTAATGGGACAACTCCAGGGTTTGGTGACAAAGCTACAAGGCTTTCAGGAGACCAAAGAAACAGAGCCAGCAGAAGCAGAGAACCTCCAAGTAGGATCAGAGCTTTTCCTGGAACTCAACCAGTCGCCCGCAGTAGAAGCCAATAAAGAGCAGGTCAGAAAGAGTTCAGCTTTTGTTCGTGACTTTATGTGAAATCAGTTCTGCTTACACCATGACTAATATTATGTTCATTTCTATTTTTATATTAAATATATCTAATAATAAAATCCTCTCCTTTTAGATGCTTGTTTCGGCTCTTGGCTCGATCTTCAAGCATCCGTGTTTGGAGCAGTGGTTTCTGGCTCTGGAGTTGTCTGCTTTGCCTCCTCACACTCTGAACCCTGTCCGACTAAAGAATCTGTGTGCTCATCTGACCGATCACACTCTGGCCCTGCTGAAGACCAGCGCCCCAGTTCTTTGTGATCTCAGTCACCTGGAGCTCCTACACAGCTACATGGGGGCAGTACAGAGATCTGTTCTCAAGGAATTAATGGAGAACGCCTCTAAGGCCCCAAAGAAACAGTCCAGATGTTTTCAGGCCCTCCTGTCTCTGCACAGCTACATGGACCCCTGTAATCTGAGACAGGTGGTGTCCAAGTTGCTGCTTCTCCCTCAGGAGAGCCTCATCTCTCCTGGCAGCAAGGGCACACAAGCCAAGCTGAGTGTCTACGGCCATGCAGCACTGCAGATCCTCACAGAGAGTAAATCCAACCCCTCCCAGGACCACAGCATCTTTCTGACACAGGCGCACCTGCACGGCCTGAGCACCCTCCTGTTGTCCTGCTCCAGTCCTGCGCTGGAAGAGTTTCTGCTGCAGGCTGTGTCCAGCGAGCCTGGCAGTGCCAGACTGATCCACACTGACGTGCTGCTGCACTGTCTCCAGCAGCCCGTGTCAGCCACTCAGGCCATCAGCTCTCTGCTGCTGCAGAACTCCTCCACCCACCGCCTCTGCTTTGAGGTGTGGTGCTTAGAGCCTGCAAACATGGAGCAGCTCTCAAACCATACAGAAACAGTTCTTCCACTGATCAATACCTACTTACAAGTGGCAAGTAGGGAGGACCCAGCCAGACCCAAAGATGGTTTGTACTAAATCAAGTCCCCCAAGTATACAGCAACAGAATTTATGTCACTCTTATCTTGTATAGTAATTGAAATATGATAATTTTTGTGTTTTTCTAGTGCAAAAAGAAGTTTTAAAATCCCTAAAGGAAGAACTGCTCCCCAAATTATCCCAGTGCATTCTGGGAAACCTGACAGAAGATTCTGGTGCACAGTGTGTTCAAGCACTTGCCAGTTTGATCAAACTCTCTGCAAACACCAAAGACATCAGGGATTTGATCAACGACCTGCCCAATGCTCTTCAGAAAGTGGACACTTTTGAAAGGTAATAATTTCGCTCTGAATATAAAGCAAATGATCAGTGTCACAAGTAATTAGCTGTTTTCTCTCCCAGATGGCAACTTGAAGAAGTCATCACTGAGAAACTGGCTGATTTCCCAGAAGAACTAGAAACCTGGAGGAAGTCTGTCACAACTGCTGCCGTCAAGTGTCTCATCAACTCTTTTAGTCACTGTAAAGATCAGGCTACCGCTCCGTCAGAGCAGGAGCAGAGCTTACTGGAGAGACTGCAGAGACTCCTAGTGGGTGAACTCTCCTCATACATGCTCTTCATTTATAGCTTTATTTCATGCATTTCATAAATGAATCCTCTTCACACAGACATCAGCCGAAGACATCACCGCAGCTGAATGGAACGGTTTCGTCAAGAACGGACTGAAGTAAGACATCTATCGAAATCTGGTTTGCAATTTGATCAAAACGGTTCAAAGGTTTATAGACAATACTCCCCGCCCTAGATATCGGTACAGAGATCATCACTTCCTGGACACTTTGAGCAGCCTGTTGAAAGTGATGTATGGCGACAGTGAAGTCCAAAAGGACCTGATACCTTTGTCGACCCTTCACATGATGATCAGCAGCCACTCTCTCTTCCTGCCCACCATGCTAGACTCGGACGAAGAGCCCAGCAAATGTCAAGCGAAAGGTACTGTACATAAATATAGACAAAGTCGAAGCTCTATTCCTCAACCACTGATTATAAACATGTTCATTTTGTTGTAATTTCAGAAGCGTTAGTGTCCCTTCTTCTCTGTCTGGTGAAGAAATGCCCAACAGTCTGCAACAGCAATCACTTTGTCATATTATTGGGAGCATATGGCGCTACGCTGAACACTTCAGGTAAAACAGGACATTTAAAGACTTTCAAGGCTTTTGTGGTTTTTTTTGTTCCTTCTTACATTTTGTTTTGTTGTACAGATCAGAAGTTGTTACTGCTTCTTCAGGAATATGAAAGAAACCAAGTCAGTCTGCTGAAGTTTCAGTAAGTCACATTCATTCTATGTTCTAATTATAATTCTAATTATAACGTTGCACCAATGTGTCTCCACTTCCTCCCACTGTACAAAAATGAATCACAAATATCCCAGATAACAGTGCTGCCACCTTATGCTCTCGAGGAAATTTGGACCCAGCGTCTGTGCAGTGGTGATCATGTGGTGGAGCTGCGGTATCGAGGTCCTCCCAATACATTCACTTGACCAATCACAGGTTGATTATGATGTTTCACCACGTTTTAATCGCATCAAATAACTAAAAATAAATTAAAATGAACACTTGAACAAACATCAGTGTGATAAGATCTAAAATGGCATAAACTGTCTTTGGAAAAATATATTTCCTGTGTGTTTTCCTGTGACCTTTTGGTTCATGTCCCATCCGCTAACATGGAGGACCTCGGGAGTATGAGTTCCTAGTACTTCAGGCAGCCCATCAGGGTCGCTCCCAAATGATTTGACCTCACTTGCGGAGCTGTTTTTCCATTGATCTTTATTTACAGTCTTTATGTTACACACGCTCAACAAGTGCGCTTGCAAACGCTCACCCTGAGTTTGTGACTGCAGATCCTTCCTGTGGGGCTCAGCAGCTGTGGAGCACCACAAGACCAGGACGAGTCTGGGAGCATCTCTGTGGAAGCAGGAGAGCTCTGACGACCTATTGGCTCTGCTGAAAACTGAAAGGATGCTCCAAACCATCGCGCAATTTCCACAGCGACGTAGACTCATCCTACAGGTTGATATCTTTACACGTTTACTTTCCTGTACCAACAGTGTTGTTATTTTCAAATGTTGTTTTTTCTTAAACGCAGTTTTCTTATCTGTTAGGTGAGATACCCTTAGTAGTAAGAGAGACAATGTTTTTGTTACTGGGATGATTTGACCTAATCCTATTTTTTGCTCCCGTATAGGAAGGCAATGAGCTGCTGTCCAACAATAACACAGTGACAGACCTTGGGAATTTGTATGATCCCTGTTTTCTTCTGCCTCTATTCAGTGCCATACTTCAGCCGGGTGAGGATACTTGACCTCTGTTGTCATTCCTCATCATCATCATCAGTGTAGGTCATTAAGGTTTACATGTAATGTGTTCTCTATCTTCTATCTGACAGAATGTGTGATTGACTGCCTCAAGTTTGTGTCCAGCCACGCTCTGGGATTTACTGTAATGTGTCTAAGTAGCTTCGACCCGAAGGTGAGAGCAGCAGCGTACCACGTGCTGAGCTGCTTTTACCAACACCTGGAGGGCTCTCGGTTCAGGGAGAAGAGACAGGTAAAGTCACAGGGAGGCGGTGTGTGAATAATGCCCCCTTCACAACTGCTATTAGAATGTGTCCTGAATGTGACCTCTTGTGATCGGATCTCAGTTCTCCACTTTATATGCAAAGACAATCATTATGAAACTGTCATGTAAGAGGACGCCAGCTTCACTGTTGCCTAGGATGCAATTCAAATCACAATATTATTTGTACAGCCCATACTCGCAAATCAAAATGTGCCCCATAGAGCTCAACAATCAGTACAAGGTCTGATATCCTCAGTCCTTAGGGCGAGAAAAAAAACCTTACAACAGGGAAAACTGTAGAAACTTCAGAGAACCAGAGATGCACACACACATACCGCATGAAAAAATAGCGCATAAACACAATAATTAATATTTCAATCATTCATGAAAATAACATAACATAAGTGGAGAGCTGCGGTCACACCTAGAAGAAGGCCACATGTTCCTAACCACCTCAGAATGTGGTCTGAGTGATCAGATCTCAAATGCCTGATTGTGTATTTGGTGAATTCACACCGCGCTCAGGACGGATGTTTTAATACCAGGTCTGAAAGGTCTATGTGAAGTAAATTGCCTCCAGAATCATTGACATGGTTGTTTTTTTTGTCAAACAGCTTCTGTACCTGATGGACATGGTGAAGAATGGGATTAAAAATCCAAATCAAAGACTTCCCTTTGTCCTGACCACCTACGTCACTAAAGGAGCTCAGCAGATGCTAAAACCTGGTGTGTATCCATGAGAACCTGAGCTCGTCCCTGACCACTGTCATTTGACTCCTGATATTTAAGAATGTTTGTTAAAGGCTTGTGTTATAATGAACTGATGAGAGAGTAAATGTCAGAATCCAATATGCTTCCACTGCTGACTTGGCCAATCCTTGTTGTTTCTGTTTTCCCAGAGGACCACATGTACGTGGTTTTAAACCGATTCCTCCTGTCCCATCAGAGCTTGGACTTCAGAAGAGTCCCAGAGTTCTTCAAGCTATTCTATGGTTTTGACTTGGAGGTAATGTAGGAAACTGCCAAAATATCGTTGTGTCTTCAGTAAGTCGTGGAATGAGGAGTGCAAGAACAAAAAATTTTGCAGAAATGCTTTACAAAACAAGATCAAGGAAAATCTACTTAAAAAGTAAGAATGTAACAGCCTGCGACTATGAGTAATATTATCTGTTTATTTTCTGTATGTTAAATTACAAAAAAAGAGTTTGCAGCTGCCATCTTTGTTCCTCATCGATGAAGTGTTGCCATGTTTGACGTGTTGCCGTAGGTGGAGTAGAAATTAAACAATTTACTAGGATTAGCAATGTAGTTTCCAATGAGTGTACTCAACCAAAGAGCTAATGGTACACGGGAAGTTCTTTTCACGTTTTTAACGAACCAAGGAACTTTTTAATCTGTTGCTTTGGCGATGGCTGTAAGGGCAAAACAAGCTGATGATGCAATAACCGTCTCATTTCGGTTCAGCCGACGTGGTAACAAAGTAAAACCACAAATACCGTATTTTTTATCGAAAGGAAAATATTTACAACAAACAAGAAATCGAGCTTTTTGTGAACTGAGGGAAGCTGATCTAAGTACATACAGAAGCTGAGCATTCTGAACCTAAGCTTAAGTAACAAAAACAAAAAGACTACCAGTTTCCCTACATAATAGCTCAGGTTGTCACCACGCAGCATGAAGGTTCTCCTAGAAACAAACATCCCTGCTCATAAGCCACAACAAGAAATGCAGCACTTTGGCCTTAACATCACGATGGATGACTTTTACCCTGAACAAATGAAGGAATGTGCAAATAAACTCTTAGTGCATCAACCTTCAACCTTCATCTGGTTGTTTTGCTTAGCTCAGATTGATCTTTTCTGTTTCTGTGAAGGGGTGTTAGATTTCCGTCTTGTTTTTTTTCCTGCAGCACAAGATGGAGCGGGAGTGGATCCTGAGCGTGCTGGAGGAAGGGATAAGTGATGGACACTGCTACGAATTGTGTGAGCAACAAGGCATCTTCAGGAGCCTTTTAGGCTTCAGCAGCAGTCCCCTGTGTGATGAACACTCCCAGGTACGCACTGCGGGAATCACAATGATCCAACGCACTAATAATCAAATCCGAAAAGATGATAGAGTTGTAAACACTGAAGAAAGGCATGAAAAGAGAAAATATTGAGAAATCCAACATAAAAAGTAATGAGGGTAGGGTGCTTGATTCTCTGAAATACACGTCATAAGGAAAACAATTAAATTTGTGTTTTTATCTAACCCTCTCCATTAGGCCCAGATTATCAGGGTGTTGTGCCAGGCCGCCCGTGTGAACAAAGCAGCTTATAACCTCACCAAAAGCTGTGGACTCCTAACCTGGATGATACAGCTGGTTGAAAAAAGGTAAGGTCCCGTCTTCATTTTAACATTTTCATTTGAATTATTACAATCATCTCTTCATATTCTCTACATCAGTCTCTTATCATTATTCCCCTCAGGAATCGAGACCTCCGTCTGCTCAGTGCCGTCATAGAGCTGCTCCACGTGCTGTGGTTTACAAACCTTGGGCAGAAGGAGAAGCAGGTGGATGCTGCTAAAACCTCTGCAGAAGAGAAACCTCCGAGCTCAGTGAAGTGTCTCCCTCTACCACTCATCTGTGAATTCCTGTGTGCGACGTTGACTATCAGCAGACACATCAGGTAAATCCCCCAAACTGTCCGATACAAGTGCAATAAACGTAATTTAAGTTTAATTTTCAGGTTTGTTGTTATCAGACGTTGTTGACATTACACACTGTAAATGTTGACTGTCTCTCGGTCAAGGATGTGAGTGTTTGTTTGACCTCGTCCTGTCAGGTTGGCGGGTCTGAAGGCTGCTCAGCTCAGCATGTATCTGCAGACCCTGTGCTCCATACTGAAGCATCGTGGGACAGCTCTGGATGTAAACAAAGAGGCCGAGCGACTCTCACTGCTTCCGCAGCCTCTCTCCTGTGCCGAGGTCCTCGTCCTGCTCGTCTGCTGGGCCTCGCTGTCGGGCAACAAGGAACTCTCTACCCAAATACAAGTCCTGTCTGAAAAGCACAAAGTGAAGGCATTGCTGGGTGAGTGTTTCACAACCCAGAAGCCACATAGTTTTCCATGTAAGGGTTGGACAAAATACTGTAAACACTGAATGAAAAAAGAACTAATGACCACAAATTTACATTATTTCCACAGTGACTAATATTCGCAATTAAGCCCTCTAATAAAGCCAAGCCCACGTTATTAAGGTTTGCCCTCCTCAAGATCATACTGCAACAACACCAGCTCTGGTCTGTGGTCTTAAAAAGTCTAAAACATAATGATCTGAATCTTAGGCCTTAATTATGTCAATATTTATTTAATGCTACTTCGATTGCTCCTCAAAATGGATGCATTTTTTTTAAGAGAAATGATTTGACGGCATGTGTAGTAGTATAGTAGTTCAGTCTCAACAATACAGATACAGATATTAGCATGCTGTAATAAAACTACAAATAAGACCAACATGGAACAGAACCTACAAACACCCAGGTCTGAATCACTTTTCAAACATTCATGAGAAAGGAGAGTACCTAACATAAATGGAGAGCTGTGGCCACACACCGAGAAGAAGGCCACGTGTCCCAGACCACGCATCCACAATGTGTATTTGGTGAATCGTTTTAATACCAGGTCTGAATGAGGCCTATGTGAAAGAAATTGCTTATTCTCTACCTCAGTTTATCTTAAACTACAGGGAAAACTGAATCATTCTGGGACTCAGATTTTCCCTCATATTTGTAGTTCTTGACATATGTCTTAAATTTAATTCATTATAATCTTAAAAGGGTCTTTAAAAGTTGCAGCAGCCCTGCAATAAGTGCTCCAGGGTTGCTGCTCTCTTGCTGACCCCAGAGAGAACAAATAGAAATTAAGCTTCAAAAGTATCACACTGTTATGTGTTGTCACTGCTTGCCAAACTTTTCTATTACAAACTGGAGAATTTAGAACTTTGTTCTGTGTCACAGTATGTAAATCATTCCATGCATCTTTGACGGAATAAACATACTTTTATTCATCTTCCTCTTCAGGGATGGGGAGAGATAAGGCCAGGGGTAAAGGCTCCTTTTCCCAGGGCCGCACACAGAAAGAGACCCTGGCTGAAGATGCTGAAACTGAGAATCCAGGAGAGGGTCCCCTGACAGCTTGTAGACTAAGCCTCAGCAGTATCCTGCTTCACTGGGAGCCTGTGTTTCCTCCCTCTGAACCGCAGCAGGTTCAGCCAGGAGACAAACTGGATCCCAGTCAGCTGGCCAGTGATGCTGCGCACCTGCTCACCAAGTGGTCCCTGAGGTGCTTGGTGGAGGCCTCGTATGATGAGAACAGAACAAAGAGCTTCTTGCGCTGGGTTGAAACAGCTGTGATAAAACACAGGGAGATTTTGGATGTCATGCTGCTCGATTTCGGCTTGAAAGCTGACCTCCTCCGCCTCTACCACCGGGCCTTTGAAGCTCATTGTGACTCGAGCATTTTGGCAAGAGTGGAAACCTTCCAGCGATTTACCAACATTATGATTCGCTTACTCGAGGCCCAGGGCCAGCTTCCAGATCTGCATCAGGCAGTCGTCTCCGCCTGCCTGCCAGAGGCCGCTCATGATTCTTCTAGATGTGGTAAGAGTCTGCCAAACAATACTATACCAGTTTACCAAATTACTTCCACTACATATAACGAAAGATCTGTGTTGTTTTGACATTTTGCACAAGATTTTAACAAAGGAGTCAAAAATGTAACTTGACGGGCATTAGTTTTGGGAAATTTAGGAGAAGGTTCGGCTATACTTAGATGTACTAAACAAGTGAAATGCCCTTTCTTAACATGTCTGTTTGGAATGGGCTGTTTGCTTGGACTGCGGTGAGGCTGGTTCCAGTTCTCTTCCTGAAACAGTAAAAGTGGCCTACAGTAATTGAGCTGTGGCAAGTGAACCCTGAAGCTTCACCACCGCTTCTGCACAAAGAGCTGTTCTCCTGTTTATTTAAAGTTCAGTGAAGCTTGCTTCTGTACACAGAACCCCAAACTGGAAAATCAGTTTCCATTGCCGTTGTCATGAAGCCGCTGTGGTCGTGATCGACAGCATCACTTCCATTGATGAGTCCCAATCACTGCCGCTACAGAACACTGGTCATCCGTATATTTAAAATGTATTAACATTGAATGTATTGCACGTCAACATCACACCAAATTCAACACTGCACTTCCTCGGGCCATTAACAATACACGTCATGTGTGAAGCCAATAAGATGAATGGTTCTTTAGATAATGTCCGCAGACAGACAGACATTTCTAGAATTGGTAAATATATAATTATGAAAGATATCTGTCATGTGTGTCATATGAATGGTGTTATGTAAAAAAACAACAACCAGAATTGACATTATTATTATTATGTGAAATTAAGCAGTGGACTGAAACTGGTTAAAAACATGGTATTTAATGGAAACTGCAATAAAAGTTGCAAAACATACATATTTAGACCCATTTGTATCACATTTGCAATATTAGGCATCGTTTAAAAAGCCAAAGAGCAAATCATGAAGACACATCAAAAGCTGTAGAATAAGACTAAGAATCAGGAATGGAGGAGAAACTTGATTTTGACATATGAGAGTCAAAGACAATATTATTAAACCAATTGATTCATGCGAACTAACCGAACTATAAAATATTAATACATTTATTTTTACCTTTTCTCTGACACTCTCATAATAACAGTTAATAACACTGATGTCTCCCTCAGCAAAGTGACTCCTGTATAATTACTGTAAATAAATGAAGCCTGTTGTTTTCTCCTCTCCAGATGCAGGGCTGCATCTGTTGTCGTTGTACATTCATGAGCTGTGGAGCGGAGCCTCATCAGCAGAGCTCTTCCTGTCTCATGTCAGTTTGGTGTCCAAGTGTAAGAGAGAGAAAGAATCCAAACCAGCACAAACAGCCGTCAGAGCCATCTGTGAAGACATCATCAGCTGGAAGAGTTAAACACAACTGTGTTCTTTTAAAGACAGCTAATTAAAATAATATTTGTACTCTTACTTTTTTTGTTACTGTAAAAAATATTTTGTAAAACCCTCTGTTATTTGATCGTTTACAATAAATGTGTAAATGTGTTTTTAGCAAATGGTCCTTGTGTTACCTATTGTTAAAAATCTGTATACATAAAGTATGTTGAGTACATTCAAGAAGAAGATAGTGAAGCTGATTACAATGAATAGCTCTCAGAATCAAGGGATCTCGTGAACACACGCTGCAGCTTCAAGTACAGGATAATAGTTTTTTGTTATTTAATGGTAAAGGAAACCTTGCAATTAAAGAAAAGACGATCATTGTTTTTGTTGCAAAATCTTTAATCCTAAACTCTTGATTCCTTGACATTCACCTCCACAGCTGCATTATAACCATCACCATTGTGAAATTATGTTCACAAACCTCAATTTTTTTACATTTTCTTTCATATCCATAAAATCACTTTCATTCAGATGCAGCCTCAGGTCATGCAGATGATATTCTGCGGCTTCCTTTAACTTTGGATCTTTGACGCCTGCAAAAGGAAATGTCTAAAAGTCAAGATGTGTGGCTCTATTCATCTGGTTTTTATTATACAGTATATATATGTTTTAATTATACATTTTAACATTTAATATGATGATGAAATTTATTGCATCACACTTACATTGGTAGGTTTCCACTGGACATTAGATTCAAACAGAGAAAGAGGAGTCCCACAAAAGCAGCCAGAAATATCCAAAAAATGATCACAATGGAGTCTGAAAAGGAAGTGGTAAATTACAGTTACGTTCCTGCGACACAAGAAATGCAAAAATCCTATAAAACATGAAAACTTACATTTGTTGTATTTCAGCTTGCTCTCATCCACAATCACAGGATCGAGATAATCATAATAGTATTCATATTCATAGGAAACCGAGTTGGTGGAGTTCTCCATTGCAGCCATCTTCTGCTTTTGGGAGGGAGGTGATGCTGTTTTGTTCCATAAAAGTCAGCACAGAAAATACGAGTGAAAAATAAAAGAATTGTTTAGTGAAAAAAAAGTGGATCTTGAGTATTTCAGCAAGAATGAAGAAAATGTCTTCCAGTCCTCACCTGCGTGTATGTTCATCTGACTCCAGCTGTTTCCCCTCTGGTCAGATGTCCTGACTGTTTGAGTGGATGAATGCAGTGAGGGAGGTAACAACCAATGAAAACAAGGTTGTGCTCAGAGTGTAATGACTGGGACTGATGAGACACTTTATATTCTTAAAGGATATTAGTATTGTCCCATAGTATAGTAGTATAGTCCTCACACAGGCCAACAATACTACTACTAATATTCAACCTTCTATTGTTTGTGTGCTTGACGTTATGCACAGAGCTTTTAATAAACAGTCTATGGTGCTGGTTGAAGAAGAAAACTTTGTGTGCATCCTACCAGGTTTATCTTCAATTAGGATGTTATAGTCACTGTTCTTCAACAAATCAAGAGAATTATCTTTATTATTAATTAAGTATGTGGTTTGTATGATTCACTGATTTTTTTTTTCATGTATAACACGTAAACTTTTTCACATTCTATTTATAGAAAACATTATTCTACGGATAGATCCCTTTCACTTGAACCTTTTGGAGGGAAAACATTTGTCTATTAATTAAATTATATTTCCTTATTAAACAAGTTAAATGTGTTAGGGCAGCAATGAGGCATTTATACGGATTATTCTAAAATATATTCTCCACCATGGCTGCTACTTGGACATTTAATCGGGATTAAACCGCATTTTGAGTATGAACCATTTTTTCTTTGTTTTTAATTTATTTTTATTTGAAATTTGAATAAAAAATTGAATAAAAAACCTACAGAATTACTTTAATATTATTATTTACAGTTGTGATAAAACAAAAAATTACACGCCAGTTACCAGGCAGCGCTGCGTCTTGACGTCACACGCCAACGCAAGGGTCGCGCACGGGGTGGAGCCACCAAGCTAGCAGAAGCTTTTAGCTTAGCAGGCTAGCTCCGCGGCCGCTTCGACGTCGGTTCTGAGCGTCTCAACGTTGCTGGATGTTCTGTCGTTAGCTGAGTGACTTCATACAGTTATGATCAGATAGAGTAACAACACACACACGTTCTTCAGCTTGGTTTCCAACGAGACAAACCACCATGGATGCAGTGAACGCGTTCAACATGGAGGTAAAGTTTGTTCGTGCTTCAGCGCACCACATAGAGCCGTCAACATTAATGCTAAACAATATTAGCTGGATTGGCTATTGTTGTATTAACGGGAGCAGAATCTACATTTGAACTCAAATTGATCAACACGTGTCGAAGTTAGTTCGATTACTACAAATAAGAACATGGCTCGATTGGATTTGTTAGCCGTTAGCTAGCGTCGCTTGAGCACTCGCTAGGCCTGTGTTTTGCTAGCTTAACTGTTAACGTACACAACCTTGAAGAGACAACACAAACACACAAGATGTCATCAGTGTTTGTAATGTTACACTCTCACTCTTGTAGCATCAGGTGATGTTATGTGTCGTGCTATTTTCAAATTTCGGGCTAACGCCATATTTGAGTCGCCTTGTATCGTTAGCTAATGCATGTTTTTGAGGGGTTTCGGTGCATTCCATGCTAATTGGTAAGATACTCCAAGCAGCCATGAGTTTGAGGTATTTGTGATGTAAATGCTGGTTTGCATGGGAGGATGCTGTCATCGCACCTTGCTGTGTTTTGACTGCATGTGTGGGGGGAAGTGAAATTACTGGCATTTCACTACGTGCTAAACGTAAGCATCAAGACATTAATATGCATCTTACTTTCTCAGATACAGGGCTGGGTGATGTGATCAAAGGTGTAATCTAATTAAACCTAGATAGATACTTGATTGATCCCGAGGGAAATCAATTCACGTTTCCATATTAGTATAATAGTTGATAACTACAGGAATAATATCACAATGGTATTTCTGATGAGTATGTATGTTACTGGTTTTTGAAGATTGTTAAACAGCAAAATATGATCTGAAGAGAATAATGTGTGATAAACCTCCCCATGGTGCAAATACATATGCATTAAAGGTCCAGTGTGTAAGATTTAGGTGAAAGGCTAAGAAATTTAATGTAGAATAATCCTCATGATGTTTTCACTAGTATGTTTCATCTAAATTGTATGAATTGTAGTTTTCTTTACCCCAGAAAAGACCCTTTATATTCAAATTATATATATTTACATAGAGGGGACCCTCTCTAATGAGGCCGCCATGTTTTTTACATTAGTCCAGACTGGACAAACTAAACACCTTTTGAGTTTTTATGACAACTGAAGCTACCACAGGTTCTTTTTCATGTTTGGAAGGAGAGGGTGAGGTGAGGGGTGTTCAGCTGCAACATGCAACTTCAACACTAGATATCACAAAATTCTACACACTGAACCTTTAATATCTTTTGTTCTGTTGTTTTTGAGTAAAATGACACTGAGATAATAATTGGTATTGTTTGATTCCCAAATCCTACTTTGATCCTAGACATAGTCAATGTCTACTTTCCTCCTGTAGATTATGATTTTACAGTATGGCTGTGATAAATTCTTAGAAACTCTCACAAACTAAGTAAAGAACAGAAATCCTTACAAGCTGTATTGTCTGTAGAGCCCACAACTAAAATTTCCTGTAATACAATATTTTTAGAAAGGGGACAGAATATTTTCCCACTAGAAGTAGTCTGCAGATTTGTAAATTGAAAATCAAGACACTCAAAGTTTTATTCAAGGAAAACTCATGATTCTTTGTTTTTTCTTTTCAAACCCATCAGTTGTTCTCCATGATTGACGTGAAGCCTCCGATATCCCGTGCTAAAATGATGTCTGTAACAAAGTCAGCCATCAAAGCTATCAAGGTAAAGGATTATTATCATTATAAGCAGTGGCTTATTCAAGTGGGTGCTCTCTTGACTTAAAAACTTTTATTCAGAACTTTACAACTTATGCTATGACCCATTATGTGTGTTGGAAATACAGTAAAATCAAATATTTATCTTATCTGTAGCTTTCCTGTTGATAGTTATGCATACCTCAATGAATACATCAACTATAAACTCTAATACCAACAGCCCTTCTTTATTGTGTGTGTTGTTGCATGTGACAATTTGTTCTCCGTACTGGGAGATAAGCTTATCTGTCAGTTAGCCCCTCCAGCTCAGATGCGTGTTTGAATGTACTGTAATGGAGATAAAACTCTTGGATTCTTTAGTCTGAATATGCCTTTGGGTGATGTATTTTATTTTTATAATGTGTCACTGCTTTTCATTCAGCTTAACAATATATTGTAATTTCTGAAACCTTCTGAAAGGTTTAGGATGAAGAAACACTTTCATTCAGGTCCAATTTAAAAAGTGTCAGTTTTTTGTTAACGCTCACACGCAGAAAGACGCACAAAAAAGCTGGATGAGCACTTGAAACGTGCCAATATTATGAGACATGGTAGATTTTTTGATTAGTCCAGGCTATGGAGATATGACAATCATGTAGATATTCAGAGTTTAAATAACACGTTGTTGACTATCTTTATCTCTGTTCTCTCTTTTGAGATGTAATATTTCCAGTGGCATCCTGAAACTGAACCAGATTGATTAAATGTGGGTTTGTGTGTTTGTAATGGGCACAGAAATATTTTGTAGAACGTATAAATTAATTTTTAATATTTAATTTGATGTTAGATGAAAACTTATAATCTAAATTAAAAATGACGTGATGCCAGACATGGTAATATTAAGATTAGATAACTTGGCATGATTGAAGAATTATGTTGTGACGAATAATGTTTTCTGTTTTTCATTAGTTTTACAAACACGTTGTCCAGATTGTTGAAAAGTTCATCAAGAAGGTAGGTGCTATCGAGCTTCTTTCTGCACACTTCATCAAACATTTGAATGCACCTGATATATTCAATTTGTGGTGGGACAATATAACTAAATCACCATTGTTTTGTTATTTTCTGTTTTTTTTCCACCAGTGCAAGCCAGAATTAAAAGTCCCTGGTCTATATGTGGTTGATTCCATCGTTCGACAGTCACGGCATCAGTTTGGTGTTGACAAGGATGTTTTTGCTCCAAGATTCTTGAAAAACTTTCAAGATACCTTCCAAAATCTTTACCGCTGCCCAGAGGATGATAAGGTACTGTTAAGATTGTGGTTTTGGTATTTTATATAATTACTTTGGATGGTGATGTCTAAAGTTGTTTTTTTTCTTCTATAAATTAGAACAAAATTGTCCGTGTCCTGAACCTGTGGCAGAAGAATGGTGTGTTCGATATGGACATCAT